GACTGCGGATAGTATCCTCTTTAATACATCGGGAAACTGAGGCTCAGAGAGGTGATGGGGCTTGACCAAGATCCCACAGCTCAAAAGCAGAGGCCTGTGTGCCTGCTCTGTGCCCCAGCCTCACTGCTGGCTGAGGCTGCCCTGGATGGAGCGAGGTGTGCTGGCAGTCCAGGGTCTGCACGGCTCCTTGAGATGCCAGGAGCTTCTAAGACCGTCCCCTCCACCTCCTGAAGCTGCCCGGGACGTACCATAGGATCTGGCAGCCCCACTGAGGGCCCCAACAGCTCAGGAGTATCTGGCCCAGGCAGGAGGCCCCTCACAACAGGCCTGGAAGCTGGCTGAAGAACGGGCCTCTCTGTCTTAGAGACTTGCACACCCTCTTCTCCTTCCTTAGGCCAAACTGCAGCCAGCACCCCCAGGAGTTTCAAACCACATGATAGGTTCCAGCCCAGCTGCCACTGGCCCTGCCCCCTCAACTCTTACCTACACCCAGCCCTGCTCAGGAATCCAGAGACCTGCTGGCAGGCTCCTGCCTTGGCACAGTCCCCTTCCCCTCTTCCTGCCCCCTCCTGCCCACCGAGGATCTTTCCTCCTGATAAGGAATTCCTCTGAAAGAAGGCAAAGAGGGATCCACCCTACCAGATCCCAAAGCAAAGTGCGGGATGCCAGAAGCCCAGATGTCAATGACTGCATCAGGAGGCCAGATGGATGGAGATGGGGAGCCCAACAGGGCGGTGCGCTCGGCGCTTGGAGGTTGTCCAGGAGAAACAAACACGCCGCTGCTCCTGGGCTGCCTTCAGAGGCGCTCGCATGGCAGCGTGCAGGGGGCATCTTAACACAGGCACTGCTGGCCAGCAATACTTAGCCTAGTTTAGAGAGGTTCCTATTTTAGATTATTTTTCTCCAATATCAAACATACATCTTTTAAAAAGTAAAGTGAACATACATAATTTGGGGTCTATTTTCATCATATGAGGTTTTTTTTTTTAATTAAAAGGGTTTATTGGGCAACTTAAATCCACTTTACCATTCTTTTTTTAATCTTCCATTCCATTTTATTGGAAGATTGGAAAGTAAGGAGAAATGTTGCAGGATTTACAAATCTCAGAGACTCTCAAAGCCCACTGTAGTGACAAAGCACTTGGACTAGGAGACTTGAGGTCTCCCCTAACCCTCCATTGACCGAGTGTATCTCATCCTCTCCGGACCCGTCTTCTCACCTTTAAATGGAGGGAGCCCTCTGTTACCTTTAAGGGTCTCTGTAGCTCCTACCTTCTGTGACCCTGAGCCCCAGGAGCAATGGGATGGGGATCAGCCTGGATGTTGCCTTCCTCCTCTCAAAGCCCCGGGGGTCTCCGGGGGTCTGACTGTCAAGGGCAGTAGGGCTGGGAGCAGCAGCAAAGTGCCTAGGCCTACCCCTGAGGTGTAAATGTCTACTAGCAGTGGATTCTTCCCTGAGAAAAGACGCAGATGGTGGCAGGAGAGAGGGTGGAGGCACAGAACCTGTGACAGGGGGAGACGTACCCTTCAAGCTGTGGGGTAGGGATCAGACAGGGGAAAAAGAACTTGTGGTGCTTACATCAGTTCTGTCAGGGGGTGCTCTCCTCTCTCAGCGCCAAGAGCCCCAGTCCTCAGCCCAGGTTTGTGCATCCCACAGACATTCACTGAGTGCCCACCACGTGCCGGACACTGTCGTAGGTGGGGATGCAGCAAGGAAGGAGGCAGGCTTGCTCCCTGTTCCCATAGAGTTTACAGTCGGTGGGAAACACAGACATTAAATGATTAGGAGCAGTTATGGAAAGTGCTAAAAGGAGAAGCTTTGAACTCGGCTCTTTTGAGGAATACAGTGCCTCCCATCTCCTCTTGATGTGTTCCCCCAAATCTCTCACCTCCACTTCAGATCTTTGCTTCTCATGGACTCCTAGTCACCACAGGGAGATGGAAACCCAATGAGGCTGCCTGCCAGGATGTCAGACAGGCTGAAGGTCCCTAACTTTGCTAAGAATGGCTCCACCTCAAGGACATAGCTCCCTCCCAGCCCGAGGCATCAGTGGCCACTGTCCACGGGGGTGATAACGGGTGTGCGAACCAGCCACGGGGATAAGCTTTGAATCCACTGCAGCAGATTCCCCCAGAGACCCAACACGTTCCCCTAGCCCAACTCACTGTGAGCCTGGCTCAGCACACACACAGTAGTTGGCCCGCCTGGTACCACACTGCCCCCTTCAGCTACCTCACCACCAGCCAGGAGACAGCAGGACAAGGTGAGGAATGTCCCACCCCCATGAAGGGGCCATGGGAGTCCCTTTCCCTTTTCATCTTCTGTTCCCATCAGGTACCCACAGTCCTTTGCTGTGTCTTCCCCGCCGCCCCTTACCCCTGTAATTTGGAGGTGGACACTTAGAGGATGTGAGAAAGGTATTTGACCTACCTAGAGTCCCAGCCCCTTCATCTACGCCCATGTGGCTGCTGGGACTCAGGATTCCAGGACTTTGTGTGCCCTCCCTACCTCTGTGCCCTGGATGAGCTTATCATATTACTCCCCTGCCCCCCATAAGAAAGGGTGCCCCAAATCTGTTACTCTGGGCTTATCTTAATCTGTTACACTGCTCCATCCACCTAAACAACCGTCTCCTACATCATCCCATCTGTTAGGATCTGATCATCTCTAAATTCACTGCTATTTATTGACTACTTACCACATGCCAACTGTTGTACTACATACTCATTCATTGTTCATTCATTCAACCAATATGTAGTGAGACCTACTATATGCCAGGCACCATATAATGGTGAACCAAATAGACATGGCCCCTGCCCCCAAGAAGCTACAGCCTAGGGCTTCCCTGGTGGCGCAGTGGTTAAGAATCCGCCTGCCAATGCAGGGGACACAGGTTCAAGCCCTGGTCCGGGAAGATCCCACATGCCACGGAGCAACTAAGCCCACGCACCACAGCTACTGAGCCCACGTGCCACAACTACTGAAGCCTGCGCACCTAGAGCCCGTGCTCCGCAACAGAGAAGCCATGGCAACAAAAAGTAGCCCCCACTCTCAGCAACTAGAGAAAACCGGCGTGCAGCAACGAAGACCCAGTACAGCCAAAAATTAAATAAATAAATTTATGTATTAAAAAAAAGAAGCTACAGTCTAGTGGAAATTAACAGCTTATATTTACGGAGTGCCTATAATATACAGACCTTGCACTAAGCACTTTATATGGACTACCTGACACTCTGTCAAAGAAATTGTTTCACTTACGGAGCAAAGGGAACTGTAGAGAAATGCAGGGTCCTGCCCAAGACTAAGTTATTGGCCACCTAAGGGGCAAGGCAGGGATTCCAATGCCCAGGTTGACTGATTCTAAAGCACCAGCACTATGCTTTCTTCCCCACCCCTACTCAATCCCACCTCCTCCAAGCACCCCTCCAGATCCTCGTCCCAGACGAGATCGCTTCCTTGGTCCCTCTAAGCCTGCTCTAGTATTTGACACACCCATGTCCTCCTGCTGCCAGATATCCAGCCCACAGAACGTGTCCCCACCTCTTTCCTCTGGAGCAGCTAGTCCAGTGAGCCACCCGGGAGCTGCTGAGTTTGCTGATCTGAGCTAGAACACTGGTTTTCTCCCCCTGCTGTGGGTTTTCATCGCAGATCTTCCTCCTGGAGGGGTCTCCGCACAGGGCTCACCCATCCAGACGCCCATTTCACAGATGAAGCCAACACAGGTCCTGAGTGGTTCAAAATCCCTTTACCTCCTGGCTGCCCGAGTCCGCTCCCTTTTCTTCCGGGGAGTCTCGGACCCTCAGCCGGAGGCTTGGTGAGAGGGGTGGGACAAGGAAACGACCTGCCTGCTGGATGCCCGTAATATCAACCCCCCAAACGCAGGCTGGCGCTCGGGACACTTCTCCGCGAGGGTCGAGCTTGCTCGGCACTCCGGGCACCTGTACGCATGCCCCATCCCCATTTCCAAAACCCGCAAAAGGTGACCGATATCCCTCCCTCCACCCCGGCCACCGCCCACCGCCCTCGCGCGCAGACCCCAGGCACCCCTTCCAACGCAGGTGGGGGTGGGACTGGGAACTCCTCACTCTCCCTCTCCCGTCACCCCTCGGCGGAGCGCGGCAGGTGGACAGCGAGCCGCTGCGCCTGAGCCGGGTCGCCCGTGCCCCCCGCAGACCCGGCGTCCCCGGCGTCCCGAGCCTCCTACCTGCTCGGGGGAGCCCTGCGCTCCGGCCGCCGCCCGCTCCGCCTCCCGCCGGTGCCACCACAGCAGCCCCGGCTCCGGCCGTCCGGGATCCCGCCCCCGGCTCCGCCCCGCCCCGTGCAGGTGATCCCGGGGAGGGGCCGACTTGCCCCCACGGTCCCTGCCTCGGGGGCCGTCCTGGGGGCGCCAGGCTCGGGACGCTGGCTGGGCGGCGCCTCACCGCAGTGTCCTCGCGCTTCTCCTGGCCTGAGTCCTTCTTGAGATTCCGATTCTGGCACACCCACCCCCACCCCCAGGCGCTCAGCGCACCAAGGCCACGTCTCCCAGGTCAGACTTCTGCCAGGGCAGAAGGGGAGAAGGGGCCTTACAAATAAACCAGGCCGGGTGTGAGCTGCAGGGGGTTTGTGTAGGTGTCTTTTTTTTTTTTTTTAATTTATAATATTTATAGCCTTTTCTTTTTTGGCTGCACTGGGTCTTCGTTGCTGTGCGCGGGCTTTCTGTAGTTGCAGTGAGCAGGGGCTACTCTTCCCTGCGGTGCGCGGGCTTCTCATTGTGGTGTCTTCTCTTTGTTGCGGAGCACAGGCTCTAGGCACGTGGGCTTCAGTAGTTGCAGCACACGGGCTCAGTCGTTGTGGCTCATGGGCTCTAGAACGCAGGCTCAGTAGTTGTGGCGCACGGGCTTAGTTGCTCTGCGGCGTGTGGGATCTTCCCAGGCCAGAGCTCGAACCCGTGTCCCCTGCATTGGCAGGCGGATTCTTAACCACTGCAACTTTTTTTTTTTTTTTTTACATTTCACTGAAAACTTTTTATTAGCCTTTTGGATAGAAACAGGAATTTATTTGCCAGGAAGGATGATCCCATCATACTTCTGCTGGAACCAGCGCATGGCCTCCTCTTTGCTGATTCTGTGTTTGGCCCCAATGCAGCCTGTCCTGTGCTTCTTGTCTACGATGCTGAAACCTGGCCTACCCAGCACCACACAGAAGTCCAGGCCGTAGATACCAATGCTTGGGTCATATTTGATCCCCAGATCGATGTGTTCTTGGATCCCAAATCCAAAGTTCCCAGTGTCTGAGAAGTTATTTTTTCTTAACTCATACTCTCGCACCTTCAGACCTTTCTCCAGGATTTCTTCTGCCTTGGCCCCACGGACTGTGCAATGGACGGCAATTTTTTCATTTCTTCTGATGCCAAAGGATCTGACGGTGTATCTAGCTTTGGAGAACACAGGGGTCTGGCCTGTGAGCTGCTCCAGCACCTTGGCTGCCCGGGTCAGCCTGTCTCCACTCCCCCCCACGCAGACGTTGAGGCAGAGCTTGCGGATGCGAAGTTCCCGCATGGGGTTCTCCTTCTCCCCTTGATCCTGCGCCATGACGGGAAACAGGAAGAGAAAGTGAGACTTCTCTTTTTTTCTTCATATTAAACTTGTAGTTTTATTCAGGTTTGATTTTTAACAAATGTGTCGGGAAGAGAGCCCGCAGGAAAGGGTGAAGCCCATGGGGGCAGGGCCCTCCCAGATGCCTGAGGAGGGGGCAGGTCCCCTCCCCTCTCCTCCTCTTCCCTTCCCAACTAAAGGGATTTGGGGAGAGACATAGGCAGGGGAGGGGGCTGGTCCCCAGTCTGTGGGGGTGGTGCTTGGGAAAAAGGGCTATTGGGGAATAAGGGACCAGACCAGGGATGAGTGGGGGAAGGGCACAGAATCCACAGCTTTCTGATTCCAGATTGAATTAAAAAACAGAACAAAACAAACCTAAACCACAAGCAGCACCCGCCCGGTCTCCCCCACCAGGGCTGTAGTGCGAGGGGAGAAGAGGAGGGGCAGCTTCACCAAGGCCGTGGTTCACTCACTCCTGGCCAAGGGAGCAGGGTGAAGGGCAGGGGCTCCCCGGCAGACTGAGGGTGCAGGGGAAACCAAAATAAAACGTCAAATAAATTGTGTGGGAGGAGTCCAGCCAAGGGCCGGGCCAGAGCTGGGCCAGGCTCGGGGAGGGGGCCTCTGCAGGCTGGAGGATCACTGCTGCCACCACAGCCACCCTGGGAGCCAGTTATTCGGCCATGGCCTTGACTGCAGCAGCTGCGTCCTCTGTCGTGGCAGACAGCACCGCGATCAGTATCTCCTCTCCACCGTCGTACTTCTGCTCAATCTCCTTGCCAAGATCTCCCTCAGGCAGACGGAGGTCCTCTCACACCTCCCCGCTGTCTTGGAGCAGTGATTGATACCCATCCTGGATGCCAATCAGCTGGAAATCGTTCCTTTTGATGCTGGGGACATCCATATTATGAGTTGATGGGCAGATATCTTCATATTTCTTCCCAGTAAAGATGTCAAGACCAACCAGATGGACCTTGGCATGGCCGTGCTGGCCAGTCTTGGAGGCTGACATCTCCACAATCTTACATGGCCGGCCTTTGGGCACCACAAAGCCATTCTTACGTAAAGCTGAGCGCTGCATCGGGAAGGTGGCTGAGGCCCCTGCATCTGCTGTCTCGAAGCCCAAATCATCTGCCATTTTAAGAGGCTTCGATTCCAGCTCGCGCGAATGAACTGACTCGACCCCGTTCACTCGCGGCGAGCCCAACCGCTGCCTCAGAGCCCGCTGCCGCTGCCGCTGCTGCACACGGCTCTTAATTAAGTGGGATTGTGCTAATTTGATTGAAGGCTTTGCGGGGAGGTTGGGGTCTAGACAATCACAGAATGTTACACCAGGAGGTTTGCCGGCTAGCAAATGTCAAAAACTCCGCCCTGTAGAATCCGGCAGTTTCCGGCATCAGACTGGTTTACGGCTGGATCCCTGGAGCCCAGCACTCTATCCCGGGCACACAATGGGCCCTCTATTAATATTTATAAAAAGAGAGGAGAGATCTTAGGGGGTCTCTTAGGGGATCTCCCCGTTTACAGACAGGAAACTGAGGCCCAGGAAGCAGAGGTAAGTTGCCCAAAATCACACAGCAGGGGAGCGACAGAATCAAGAGTACAGCCAGGTTTCCCCATTGTGTTTTCAAATTATTTCTAGAAAGTGTTTGGTTTGGGGCCTAATGCTTTGTCACTGGTGCCTGTGAGATGCTGTCAAAGCCTTGATAACTTCCTCCCAAGTTGGCTGAAAACAGAGAGAGCCCACTGTGTTTTAACAGGCAGCTCAGGTGGTGTTTATTAACAAGGATGATTAAGAAGTGAAATTCTGTGACTCGCTATATTGTACACCTGTAACTTATATAATATTGTGTATCAACTGCACTTCAATTAAAAAAAAGTGTAATTCTGTGATTCTACTTTTTTTTTTTAAGTGAAAGGTTTATTGAGAGAGATACACATTCCAAAGGCAGAATGCTGTCCATCTCAGAAGGCGAGAGCAGCCCCAGGGCATGAGTTTGTCCTGGAAAGTGAGAGCAGCCTGTGATTCTACTTCTCACCAAATACATGAGACACAATCCTTGGCTTCAAAGAGCTTCTCTGTGGTGGGAGACGCAGATCTGTCCACAAAGCAGGGGCTGTGAAGGAAGGCAGAAGGCAGAGAGGGCCCCGTGGGAGATTGCTCTGGTCCTGAGAGCCGAGATCTATGAGACCACTTCAAGATACTTCCAGAAGCTCTCGCCGGGTTGTGCGTGGGGTCAAGGGCTCTGTAGTCGGATGGTCTCAAGTTCCAATCCTGACTCAATTGCTTACTAATTGCAAGGCAGGAGCAGGTGTTTTTTGTTTTTGTTTTTTTGCGGTATGCGGGCCTCTCACTGTTGTGGCCTCTCCCGTTGCGGAGCACAGGCTCCGGATGCATAGGCTCAGCGGCCATGGCTCACGGGCCCAGCCACTCCACGGCATGTGGGAATCTTCCCGGACCGGGGCACGAACCCGTGTCCCCTGCATCGGCAGGCGGACTCTCAACCAGTGTGCCACCAGGGAAGCCCAGGAGCAGGGTTTTTGTTGTTGTTGTTGTTTTTAACCTCTCTGAGACTCAGTTTCTTTCAGTTGGATGAAGATAGTATACTTCCCTCAGTATAGTTGTGGTGAGAATTAAAAATGCGATAATGCTTATAAAAGTCTAGATAAATGGAAGAATTATTATGCTAAGTGGTAGGCGCTGGGGAGGTAGACACGCCAACACAAAGGGGACCTAGCATCTCTGTTAGGTCCCCCTCTGAGGAATTCAGTGGTCTTCAGCCTTCTGTCATCCATGGCTCTACCCCACCTTCTGCTTTCTCCCTTAACCCAGCCAACCAAGCCATAGGACACCTGCCATGTCAGAATGGCTTTGCACACACCTCCATGAGGGATTCGGGAATGAAACTCTGAAACCAAACAGGACCCTGTAGGGCCTTTCCTGGTACAAGTCCGTCCGTGTCCCCCACTTCTTGTTTGGCCTTCCCTGGGCTCCAAAGAGCAGACTCAAGCAGTTAATGATTAGAAAATAGAGTCAAAGGACTCCTAGTTCCTCCCGAAGGGATATAGATAACAATCTGACACAGATCCTTGAGTTGTCCTACAGAAACTAAGACCCCGTCTCACCTGCTGGAGCATGGTGACTACATGCTGACCACAGGGACATAGACCTCAGACGGCTTGGAACCAGAAGGCTGACGACTGAGATTTGAAAAACATCACCTCACCAGCAGCCAATCAGAAGAATGTCCACGAGCTGATCATGTACCCTGCAGCCCTACCCCTAATGCTACTTTCAAAACCCTTGCCTGAAGGCCAGGGTAGTTCAGGTCTTTTGAGTACTAGCCGCCCGTTCTCCTTGCTTAATGCCCTGCAATAAACACTGTACTTTCCTTCACCACAACCCAGTAGATTGGCTTTGCTGGTGTCAACTGAGCAGACCCGGGTTCAGTTCGGTAACAACTCTTCCTCTCACCAGCCTCCCCCATAAGGAATTGACCAGGGTCAGACACACCAGCCAAGCTCAGTGAGGCAGAGGCATAAAAAGGCTCTAGGTAACCTTCATCTCTCAGTTTATTTATTCATTAAGTCCTCCTGAATGTTCACTACAGGCCAGGCACTCTGCAAGGTGGGGCAGAGTCAGTGGGGGCCCTGCCCCAGCCAGTAGACCTCACCTTCCAGTGGGGCTGTGAGGACAGCTGATACCCAAGCACAAAAGATGGTAACACAAGAGAAAGACAGTCTGTGAAAAGTTCTACAAAGGAAATAACATGCTGTCTTTGATCATTATCCATGGGAGGGTAGGGGCTCCTTCAGAAAAGGAGGGAAGGGCAAGGACCATCTGCTGGGAGAAGACGGGTGAGCTGAGATCTAAAGGACAAGCAGGCAGGTGTGGGAGAGGCTGGGGCTGGGGAGCATTCTGGATGGAGGGAAAGCCCATAAGGCCAGTATGGTGGACCAGAGTGGGGGTAGAGGGCAGAGTGGACAGCATGAGGTCAGAATCAGGCAGCGGTCAGATCTCGTGAGGTCTTAGAGGTCAGAGTGAGGAGTTCAGATCTCATTTCAAGAACCATGGAAAATCATGGGAGGGTTTAAGAAAGGCAATGGCCTGATCTGACCTATGTTTTTAACGGACCACTCTGGGCAGTTCCCTGGCAGTCCAGTGGTTAGGACTCTGCACGTTCACTGCTGAGGACGTGGGTTCAATCCCTGGTCAGGGAACTAAGAATCTGCAAGCTGCGCAGCGTGGCCAAAAAAAAAATAGACCACTGTGGCTGGCTGAGAAGAACAGATCAAGGGAGCCCAGGTAGGAGGGAGGTGTGGAACAGGGGGTGGCAGTGGAAAAGGAGAGAAGTGATCAGATTTGGGATATATTCTGGAGGACAGGCAGACGGGAATTGCTGATGGAGAGGAAGGTTCAAAGAAGGCCATGTGGTGGCTTGTTTGCTGCCGAGTCAATTCATGCCCTGAGCAGTGGAAGCTCCCGTGACCAGAATCCCTGACCCTCCTTCTGCTGAGCTGGATGCAACTCGGAGACCTTCAGGTCACCCCCGGATCTTACATCCACAGAGTGTGAGCCCGGGGAGGTGGGGAAACGTGCCCAGGTAAAGGCAGAGGTCCCCTAGCTCCCAGTCCAGAACCTGCCTGACCCACTGGCCTTGATTTATTCCTTGGGCAAACCAGGAGCTGGTCATCTAAGGTGCCGCCCCAGGCAAAGGGATTATCGAGAGATATTCTGCATGTAAAAGCTAGAAATGACCACAATTCCAAGCGATAGAGAATGGCCTAGCCAATTGTGCTTCATAACAGATGCACCAGACATGTAAATACTCAGGTGTTTCCAACAGTGGAGATACATAAGAAATATGTATTTTGGTCTTCATCCAAGGTTTCTGGCTCACAGCTCCCCAAACCCTGTAATTCCTAAGTGATTAGAGCCACAGGGGCATCTTTAATTATAATATTTGGTTTTTATCCTCAGTTCCTAAGATAGCTTCAGAGTGATAAAAGTGAAACGAGTGCCTT